GTAGCCTAGCATTTATATGTTTTAACACTTTTTCTGGTAGATATGTAAATTTCCATTTGACTGTATCAGGTAAAGATAAGGTCTCCATCATTTATGGCATGGTGGATAGAGGAATAAAACTCTTTGATGAAAAATTTCATAATGAAAATTTGGTTTTCATTTTTGACACTCTTCTAAAAAATAATTACCCTTCCTCTTTTTTGTTAAAACATATAAATGCTAGGCTACAACACATTTGTTCGTCTAACGATATTCAAAAAGTTCCTTTTGACCCTTCAACAATTATAGTATTACCCTTTGTTAGTTAATTAAAAAAAAAATTTTATTAACCTTTTCAAAAAATATAACATTAAGGTCATTTTCTCCTACGAGAAAGACCCCTTCAAAGTTTTTTTAAAAAATAAAGATATGATCCCTTTTCAATTTAAGAATTATGTAGTGTATAGTATTCCATGTTAATGTGGGGCTGTATACATTGGTGAAACAGGCAGGTACATAAAAGATAGAATTTATGAACATAAAGGAGATTGTAGGTACACGACCAATCCCCCGAATTCATTCCCCCGAATCCAAACGCCCGAATAGATATTTTCCCGAATGGACATTCCCCCGAATCCAAACGCCCGAATATACAATTCCCCGAATTCAAATTTAAATTTATATTTTTATTCGACTTGAAGCTCGGAACAAAAGCAGAAATAAAAGTAAATGTATATGTGAGACAATTGAAAATCATTTGTTTATCTAACGTCAAAATTTCGAAAGTGTAGAACTAATCACGCAGTAAATTTGAGTCTAAATTTTCAGTTTTTATAAATAGCAGTTTAATTTAAAATGGATTTAAATATGTCACAGCCTCGAATTGTAGGAGGGAAATTATTATTAGAAGGTTACATTTATATTAAATCGAAATCAGGTAAAAACAACATTAAATATTGGGATTGCGAATACGTCCAACGAAAAGAGTGCAGAGCGCGTGCTATCACGCAAGAAAGTGCTAGAGGCTTAATTGTGTTAAAAGGTCCAGAGAGATCTCCGCATGAGGCGCACACGACTAATCACGATAAAGCCAAAGCTGAAGTTGTGATGGAAAACTTAAAACGGGAGGCTGAGATGCACCCCGAATGTCCTCCAGAACAGGTATTTAAAATAAAATAAAAATAAATAAAATAAATAAAATAAAAATTTATTTCTCTTAACATGCTTAACCAAAAATGTCATCGATTTAAAGTTTATACGAATTTTATTTTTTTTACAACAGATCGTACGTGAAAATCTGTGTGATTTGAGTCCCGCAGTGTTAGCGCAACTTCCGGAAAGAGAGAACTTAAAAAAGACCATGAGAAGAGAAAGGAGACGCAAACTGCCTCCAAATCCAAAAAGTTTGGAAGACTTGAATGAACTGCCTGAATCTTATAAAAAAAACATTTTCAAACGAACGCTTTCTTATGTACGATTCTCGAGATGATATTGCTTTCGGAGAGGGTCGCGTATTGGTTTTCTTTACACGCAATAATTTGGAACGTTTAGCTGATAGTGATACCTGGTATGTTGATGGCACTTTTAAAGTTTCGCCTTCACTTTTTACGCAGCTGTTTACCGTCATGGGCAAGGTTTTAAAACCCAATGTTAGAGGAAATGAACCTACTGTGATCGCTTTTCCATTTGTATATGCTCTCCTATCATCGAAGGAAACTGATCAGTACGAGGCTGTTTTTAGATCAATTGCTTCTATGGCTGCAACGTATGGTATCCACCATTGTCGACCCCAGAGAATCGTTAGTGACTTTGAAGTTGCCATTATTAATTCTTACCGCTCTCTATATCCCAATATTCCGTTAAGTTGTTGCTTCTTTCATCTGGGACAGTCATTATACAGAAGAATACATTTAGAAGGTTTGCAAGTCGCTTATAATGACCCTGCAGATGATACCATAAGGAAGGGAACGCATATGATTTTAAGCCTGGCATTTGTTCCTATATGTGATGTCATTGACGCCTTCAATGAACTTTTCGATGTGGTTTCTGAGAACTTACTGGATATAATGGATTATTTTGACAACACGTATATTCGCGGAAGAGCAGGACGTGGTCGACGTCGAGCTGTGCCACCCCGATACCCTGTTGAATTGTGGAATCAACATGAATCAACTTTGCAAGGTCTCCATAGAACTAACAATGTTAGCGAAGGCAATGTTATCCTAAATGATTAGACTTTTAAAAACCCTTCAATACTACGGGGTATTGAGGTCTGGTCTTTCAGAATCCGGGGTCAAAAAAGCATTTCGACCATCAGGGAAACCAATATGCGGCCCAAAATGGAGAAAATACCGAAAAAATCGTATGTTTTTTTTTGAAACACGCTTTTCACATCAATAAGATTTTCTTGGGCGGGTCTCATGTATGCTATAGGTGGATAAAATAGTTGTACTTTCGAACTGTGTACTTGACAACTTGAAAATTCAAGATGGCGGATCCAAAATGGCAGAAAAATCAGAGCAAAATACTTGATAAATAGCAAAAGCATCATCAATATTCAAAACTTGATTTAAATCATCTGAAAATTACTTCTCGGGGGTTTTCGGGGTCGCTGATTACGAATATTTATTTATTTATTCAAAAAAGTATATGAGGAATATGAAGTTTAATTTAAAAAATTTAAAATGGCGGATCCAATATGTCGGATAAAAATTTTTTAAAATCGATAAAATTGCATGAAATTACTCACTCGGGGGTTTGGGTCGCTGATTACGAATATGAAGCTTAATTTTTAAAATTCAAAATGGCGGATCCAATATATCGGATAAAAATTTTTGAAAATCGATAAAATTGCTTTTAAATTTTTAAATATTTCAAAATTGAATGACTTAGAGGCATTATAATAGAATATTTCTGCATTATTAAATTTTTAGAATTTTAAATTTTTCCTACAAATTTTTCGCTTTTTCAAAAACGTCTGTTTTTGCATTTTCTAAAAAAGTTGGAGTGATGTGCAACACCAGTAAAATTCAGGTATGTAATGCATAAATATCGATGAAAATTTCTTTAATTATTAATTTTAGGCTTTTTCAATGTAAACTAATCGAAATCTGCCAAAAAAAATTTACTAAGGTATAGTTGACCTCTAAAAAGTGGAGATTTCACCAAAGAAAAAAAAATTTTTTTGTTTAATTTTTTATTTATTCATAACTGAATGAGGAATATAATTAAAGGAAAATAACAAATAATTTGTTATTCATCATGTGAATCGCAGTTATGGCACGTAAAAAGCAGTTACGTCGACCCCAAAAAAAGTGTTGCACATCACCCCAAATATGATATTTTGCGAAAAATGATTTGTACGCAATACAATGCAATGGAAACACAAAATATAAAAAGATATTTAAAAACACTTAAAAAAGCAACAATAAGCACATTCTTATCTATAAAATAAATTTAAACCCTTCACGAAACGACAAGGAATGTAAAGCGCGAGAAATGTTTTCTTCTCGAGAAATTTAGGTCAACTTACGTACAGCAAACCTAGCTGCGAGCTGTCTCGTGAGTTTTATATCAAGAACAAGCTACTGAGGATACAAACAAATGGCAATACACGTGGTGAGAGTAATCAGCGACCCCGAAAACCCCCGAGTGAGTAATTCCATGTAATTTTATCGATTTTCAAAAATTTTTATCCGCCATATTGGATTCGACATTTTGAATTTTAACAATTTAACTTTATATTCGTAATCAGCGACCGCAAAAACCCCCGAGTGAGTAATTTTATGCAATTTTATCTATTTTAAAAAATTTTATCCGCCATATTGGATCCGCCATTTTGAATTTAAAAAATTCAAATTCTTATTTGTAATCAGCGACCACAAAAACTCTTGAGTGAGTAATTCTATGCAATTTTATTTATTTTAAAAAATTTTTATCCGCCATATTGGAGCCGCCATTTTTAATTTTAAAAATTAAACTTTATATTCGTAATTAGCGACCCTAAAAACCTCCAAGTGAGTAATTTCATGCAGTTTTATCGATTTTTAAAAATTTTTATCCTCCATATTGGATCCGCCATTTTGAATTTTAAAAGGTAAACTTCATATTTGTAATCAGCGACCCCAAAAACCCCCGAGTGAGTAATTGCATGCAATTTTATCGATTTTCAAAAATTTTTATCCGCCATATTAGATCCGCTAATTTAAATTTTTAAAATTAAACTTCATATTCGTATTCAGCGACCCCGAAAACCCCCGAGAAGTAATTTTCAGATGATTTAAATCAAGTTTTGAATATTGATGATGCATTTGCTATTTATCAAGTATTTTGCTCTGATTTTTCTGCCATTTTGGATCCGCCATCTTGAATTTTCAAGTTGTCAAGTACACAGTTTGAAAGTACAAATGTTTGATCCACCTATAGCATACATGAGACCCGCCCAAAAAAATCTTATTAATGTGAAAAGCGTGTTTAAAAAAAACATACGATTTTTTCGATATTTTCTCCATTTTGGGCGCCATATTGGTTTCCTTGATTGTCGAAATGCTTTTTTGACCCCGGATTCTGAAAGAGCGGATCTCAGTACCCCCTATTACCGAATGGTTTTTAAAAGTCTAATAATTTAGGATAAAAATTCTTACCTTGAACTTCATTCAAAAATTTTGGACATTTGGGCGTTAATGGGTTAAGAAGAAAAAGTTAAAAAAAAAATTTTTTTAAAGTTTTTTGAATTAATTTTTATTATTATCTTTTTACTTTATCAAATTTTAATGTTTTAAAAATAAAGTTGTTTTTCGTTTTTAAATTTGATTGATATAGTGGTTTTCTTTTTTACCATTTATGAATATAGTTATCAACTGAACCTTTTAAATGTATCAAATTCAGATTTTTCTCTCCTCTACTTACTAACCGATATACATATCTGTCTTACCAAGGCACGTGTTGTTCCCTGTTCAGAACCTTTAAGGGACAAAATACCCGCCAATATGACCTTTTCAAAGATCTGAACGTTTTGGATGCAAAAAACGGATTTTTTATATGATGATTGTTTTGTAAAATTTTATTAGAATTGTATATGTGATGAAAGATATCCACATTGGTAAGTTGAGGTTATGTACATAATGTTACTATAATGGAATATAATAACAGTATTGTTTTTGTCTTTATGAACCGTTAACTTATGTTAAATAATAATAATTTGCAGTTTCCATATATTGTCTGAAGAGGTCCATCGTCGATGGACGAAAAGCTTCACATTTGACATAAATAATCGTTTGAATAAATGTGGATTGATTTTTTGAAAAACAAATGACATCTTTTACTAAATTTTATTTATATTACAAAAAATATTTATAAATAAAAGTTTTTATATATTAGAAGACATAAAAATACTAATTGAAAAAAACATTTTTTTAAATGGCAGCTCCTAAAATGGCTGCTGAAACACGTCCCTTTTGTTGGTGGGTGACACGATAACTCAACAACGAATCATCCGAAAGTAAACATCAAAACATTTTCTTATTCTGTATCACATTGGCTATGGTCGGTACTACAAGAAAACATTGTCACAAAAACACAAAATGGCAGACTTTTTAATTTTTTTATCTTTTTTTCACTTTTAATTGTTTATAATTTTTTTAATAACAATGAATATTTTTGGTTGTAGTACCGACCATAGAGAGACATTTTAAAAGTAAAATGCTATTTGGTTCATGTTGATAAGTGCAATAGTTTCTAAATAAGAGTGTCACCCAGTTGAAAAAACGTGGCCGGATTTACCGCTTGGCGCGCTCCGCTCTCCCCTCTTGTATACCTACTTCTCGGTCGTGTGTACCTTCGGGACTAAATCTATATTATTTCTAAGAGTATTTTCTAGCAATAAGCAGAAAAAAAAATTTCGATTTTTTGAAAATTGTTTGGAGGAACTTGGCCTTAAGGAAAGGACATACAGTTTAATGTTTTAGGAAGTCATTAACTGTATATTTAAGTAAAAAATACAAATTTTTATTAATAAATATTCCAAAATGGCGGCACTAGAGCCATTTTTGGAAAATGCATTTTTTTCAGGAGCTCCGCGGTAAGCAGTATATAAGTAATGTACCGATTTCAAAAACTGTGTTTTGAGAAAAATGCGTTTAAGGGGTAACAGCACTGCATTTATTTAATAATTTTTTGGTAATGTAAGGAAAGGATATACAGTAATAATGTTTTAAGTAATTATTAACTATATATTCTATTAAAAGATTACAAATTTTTGTTAATAAAATTCCAAAATATTGGCACTGTAACCATTCTCGTAATGCATGTTTTCTGCAAGGTATAGTTCTTCTCCGGTAAAAAAGCTTGAAATTTCAATGAAATCATTTCGGACACATGTATAAAACCTTTTGTTTCAAATTTTCGAAATTCGAAGTGGGTAGATACGATTTGGCGGGTAGCATACATTTTTAAAAGTTGGTTACTTTTTTTAAATTTGATAACTGTGTATTTGAGAAATTGACATTTTTAAATTTGATCTCAAATTTTTAAAATTTAAAATGGCGTTTTGGAAGTTTGCAAGTTTATCTTAGAGATATTATACAGTACCGTCCGAAATTGTCAGTCCACCCATTTTTAAAGGAATGAAAAAAATTTTTTTAAATAAAATTCATGAAAACTAAAATTTTTTTTGGTTTATATTTTGAAAGACTATAAAATTTTGAAAAGAATAAGACCTCACAGAAGTCATTTGGACAAAATTTGTAGAAGATATTCTTAAAAATCGTCATTTTCAATGTTTTACAAAAATTTGAATAACTTCTAAAATAATGAACGCTTTTTAATAATCTTAGGCTTTTTTAAAGGTCATTTTCTACGGAATAAGAATTACTTATAGGCATTAACCTATAATTTTTTATTTGGAATAAGCATGACGTCAAAGTTGGACAAAAAAATTGGAAAAATTTGAAATAATATTATTAAAAGAAAAATAATTATTTAAATTCAAACATATTTTTTTATTAAATTTTCTTGAAAAATCCACACCATATCATGTTTTATATATGTTCTAGAATAGTTTTTAGTACAAAAAATTTATTTCAAATTTTTCCAATTTTTTTGTCCAACTTTGACGTCATGCTTATTTAAAATAAAAAATTACAGGTTAATGCATATAAGTAATTCTTATTCCTTAGAAAATGACCTTTAAAAAAAGCCTAAGATTATTAAAAAGCGTTCATTATTTTAGAAGTTATTCAAATTTTTGTAAAACATTGAAAATGACGATTTTTAAGAATATCTTCTACAAATTTTGGCCAAATGACTTCTGTGAGGTCTTATTCTTTTCAAAATTTTATCGTATTTTAAAATATAAACCAAAAAAATTTTGAGTTTTCATAAATTTTATGTTAAAAATTTTTTTTCATTCCTTCAAAAATAGGTGGACTGACAATTTTGGCCGGTACTGTAAATAGAGTGGGAAAGATATCCCTACTAAAAATTCTTTAAGGATTCCTTACAGGTGTCCAATGTAGGATCCTATGAAGGATTACTACAGATAATCTTATAGGGTAAGGCTTTCTGAAGTGTACCAATAGTTTTTTAAGCCTGCTCTTAATGAGATAATTAAATTTTCTTTATAGCATTTTATTCTTGGTAGAATTTAAAAGTATTACCAAAAAAAAATTTTAGGTCCTGCATTTTATTTACAAATTACAGCTATTTTTGTTACACGCTGTAACAAAGACAACAAAGTTGTAACAAAGTTTCGCGGGCGGTCGCACTGCCGCGTTATATGCGTTGAATTGGTTTCAATTTGTTAGTTAGGGGTCACTTATAAAGCATTTATATATTGATACATAATTTCGAAAATTTTAATTTAATTTTTTTGAAAACTATTTTCAGGTGTTGTTTTTATCATTATTTACTTTTAAAATATAGTGTTTAAATGAAATTAAAATACACTGTAAAAACAAAGCCCGAAATTTGTCTTTTTTCAAGGTGTAAATGGAAGTAGACCATGTTGGCTGAATGTCAGTAATGATTAGAAGTTTAAAAAGAATACTCCCCAATTGATACAAGTGAGGTGTTAAATGAACTGAAATTCAACTGTAAGCTAGTAAGAAGGCTAAAATTTAGCCAAACCATCTAGCTAAATTTCAGCCTTTTTACAAGCTTACAGTTGAATTTCAGTTTATTTAACACCTTACTTGTATCAATTGGGGAGTCTTCCGTTTACACCTTGAAAAAAGACAAATTTCGAGCTTAAAGGCGGTGTCAAAGTCGATGCGATTTTTCCATTGAAGCTCAATGCAAAAATCCAATCGACTTTGACACCGCCTTAAGGGCATTTGAACCTTGATGACGTCACACATGCTTTGCACAAAGTGTAACGTCATCAAGGTTCAAATGCCCTTAAAGAAAGACTTTGTTTTTACAGTGTATGTTCATATTCTTGAATTTTATTAAAATAAACATATGTCACATTTAATTTCTTATAACAAACAACAATTATTAAAACTATCAGTGGAAATTTCTCCCTTTAAGATAAAGAATTAAATGCTAATATATTAGGTGAAATTAAGATTATAAAATGTTTATAAACTTGTTTATAATCGAATTAAAATATTAACATACTAATAAAACTAAACTTTCTGTCTAAGATTCACCAATTATTATAAATATAATTTATGGACTTATATATGCGTCACAAGGGACGCAATTTGCAAACGTGAAAAGTCTGAATAGCGCGTAGCGTCACAATCAACTTTTTCAGCCTCGCCAGACTTACAGTCAGCTGTTAGCGTATACCTTATTAGAAGTTAATTTCATCTAACTTTTTATTAATACCATTGGATCTGAAATTAAGTCCGGTGTATTACAAATAAATTACAAACTGAGTTTTATTTAAGTAAGAGTACAACTAACTTTAATTTTCAGTTAGTTTTTATGATTAAATAAAGTTGATAGCTTAAGATAAGTCAAAAATTAAAACTAGCCACCATTAAATTTAAGACTTTGTTTTTACTGTGATTATTAAGATTTATTTTTATATTTACCTATGATTTAAAATAAAAATAATTTTATCATTAATGATATAGTTTTTTCCAAAAAAATTTAATTATGTATTTGTCTAAAATTTAAATTTCATTAAATAAAAAATATGTAATTCAATTTCAAACATAAAAATTGTATCTCTATTACACACTATGCAGTAAAAATAACTTACAATCAATAAAAGTTATTATCGACAAAGCAAGTTTGTTTTTGTTTGAGAAAATATACTTTTCTGGAAACTCTTCGCAATGTGAAGTATTTATTATTTTGGCAACGAAAAATAATATAAATCGAGATAGTGTAGTAAAGTGTAAATATTCTGAGAAAAGCAATAAGCAGTAGTTCACGGTGGTCTTGAAGCAAAATAAAGTTTTTCTACGTCGCCAAAAAAAATCATTTGTACAATCTTTTAGAGCGTCATCTCAAGATTCAAAATCAATAAATATTGAAATCCCAGCTGCTCGTCCTTGCGTTTTTTCAACCAATACTGTTTTCATTGAGGTGTACTTGCGTTTGCGAAGGCAAAATATTGGCCCCACTTTACTGTTTTTTTCGCAGTCATAATATTTAAAAGATTAAAAACTGTTTTTGCACCTTAAAATATAATATTAAAACTACAAAAAGAAATAATTGTTTCTTTTTTCAACTATTATTTACGATTTGTAGAGGGCGCCAAAGTATGGCGATCTCTAATTCGTAAGATTTTGCGGTGCCCCCGATATAGCCACTCCTGACAGTCTGAAATCAAAAAAACAAAATTTTTTTAGTATACATAAATACCTAGTGGACGTATGTGATGGAATTAAAAAAAAGTAAAAAAACGAAAATGGCGCCCTTTTAAAGTAAAAAATTTAAAAGATAAAAATCATCGTTTCTTAAAAATTGACTTTAAAAGGTCGCCATTTTCGTTTTTTTTTACTTTTTTTAATTCCATCACATACGTCTACTAGGTATTTATGTGTACTAAGAATTAAATTTTGTTTTTTGACTTTAGACTGTCAGGAACTGCTGTATCGGGAGCACCGCTAACTCTTACAAATTAGAGATCGCCATACTTTGGTGCCCTCCACAAATCGTAAATAATAATTGAAAAACGAAACAATTGTTTCTTTTTGTAGTTTTAATATTGTATTTTAAGGTGCAAATAAAGTTTTTATTATCTTTTATTATCTTTTAAATATAATTAGGACTTTTTTCGGAGCAAGCAGGTGAATCTATTAATCGACATTTTTTGGAAACTTGGAAAAGTTCTAGAATCTGTATAG